ACCTGGCTGTTAGCCCAGCGGAAATGTCTGGATGGATACCAAATTACTTTTCAGAAGCCAAACAGATTACTCACTATAAGCTATAGCCTCTCTTTAATACTGTCTGTAGTAAATATTCCTTTAAAGCCTTTCCTCTGCTCTCCCTGCTTATTTTCAGTATCAGCTATTCTTATCACAGCATCAGCATGAGATGAGTTTCTTGTTCGCTTATAAATTCCAGGTCTCACTTAGTCACTGCCTATCAGGGTTTTAAAAGTATTAGAAAAATTTACATTTTGTTTAAGTGGTCTGCACTTGTCAGACTATCAATATTCTTTTATAAAATTGTCCTCTTCCACGTTTCCTGTTGCCTCGGTCTTTGTGCCATCTGTAAAAGCTTTGGGTAATGATCAGTCTTCAGAGTTGTGATGGAAATTACGTCAAGTTTGGACAAACACTGCAGAACTTATCAAAATTATCTCCATTCGGTGAGGCAAGGCTAGATGCTCTTTGAAGTCCTGTCATGAACTGCTATCAATCCCATTTGATGTCTCTCTACTAGTAAGGTGTCAGATGTTTGATTGGGGAAAAAACAGGTTAAAATTCATAAACTTCATGAAGTATAGTACAGCTCAGCCTTTGCCTTTAGCAGCCAAACCCGTGATTTCATAAAAGAAGGAAATCATCCAAACTGTCAGCAATGGGGAACAAGTAATTCAGTTATATTGACTCTTCTGAAGCTTCATTTTTCATTTCAGAACAATATTCTTTCCAAATATAACTTAATAAAATTAGAATAATAATTTAAAGAAAATTAATAGTAATCTTTTGGTGTTATCAAAATCTATTATTAATTTAAATCAATGTATCTTTCTGTACTTTTAAAAAAAATCTTGTGATTCTTGTTTAGAATGATTGGTGGAGAATGGTGGAGAAATTTTAAAAACTATTTGAAAAGGAGTCAATCTAATGTGACATTTCTTAATACACTCTTCCTATTGTGTAAGATGCCATTCAGTTCAATGAACATGAGAACAAAAATGTATAAGTGGTTAAATTTTTTCTTCAACATTAGACTAAGCAGAGGATTACAACCCTTCCCTTTTCCCTTAGGAATCAATCTACATATCTGGGAAAAAACCTCGTCTTAAAACTTTTTTTGAATTTATAAAATTATTTAGTTCACTGAAAGCTTGAAATATAGATTTAGAAGAAATACAGGGTTGGCTATTTAGGATCCTGTTGATATCAGCGGGTCTCAGTAGATAACTTCAAGAACAGTGGAGGTAAGACACGTACATAGAAAAAGTGCATCTCAAGTGGGTAAAAGACAGCACATCTCAGAGTTTTTACCAGAGTATGTTTATGGTTCTGATAAAGGCAAATCCACAAAGTTTTAACTTTAGTCAGAAGATGTTTCTTCCCCTCCAGCTGTCAGAAGAAACTACCATTTTGTTTAAAGCTAGCACTGAATTTTAGAAAAATAAAGTCATGAGGGAGGAGAAATGCAGGAAAAAGACCTTATGCTTCCGAGGACAAGTAGTTTTATTTGTCATCTTCAGCCAACTATTTCACCACCAGAAATATCTTTGAAGACCTCAGAGGCAAAGCTAATCTCAAAAGAAAATGTTTGTGGTTGAGATAGACCCCTAGTCATGCCAAGAGCCACATAGCTATATGACTTAGGTGAGGTCAGATAACTTCACTTGGTAACTGGAAACCCATTCCGTGGTTCCTTTTCTCCTCCATAGTAGAGGACTATTCTTCCCACACAGTATCTGCATTTCCCACCAGTGCAAGAGGCAACGTGATTCCCTCTTGATACTCTCCCTCTAGGAAAAGCAACAGCAACAGGAGAACAGTTACATCCCATGTGCCATGGCTCGGCACGAACCAGGCGCTGTCCATCCACGCAGCTGGCTGCTGGCTGACAGCAGACCCCTGGGGATGATACACATGCCAAACAGCCAGTCCAACACAGGGAGAGTTCCTGAAAACCACCCACCCACACCACAGGGAGAGCCAACAGCCATGGGCATGAACAGACTGCCAGTCTCCTGCATACTTGAGACAGAGCCTTTTCTGCAGAGTAAAAATAACCACTCTACGTGTGTCTAAGGAGTTCAGGGTGTTTACAATAGTCCTAGTCTTGCTTCATTAGTGTTTTTAATGATTGGAATTTGGCTTTTAAATCTAACTGTTGGTGGATGTTTAAAGACAGTGATTAAGTGATTACCAGATCTCCACTGTACTTGTGAGGAAACCAATTCACAGGGCCATGAAGTGACCTTGCAAAACAGGAAAAAGTGTTGAAGCTTGGTAGCAAAACCAAGAGAAGAATCCAGGTCTCCTGATAAATAGTTTAACAGGCCATGCTGTAACCACACTAAAATAACATTCCCACTCAGACTTCCAATACAAATCTCTCCTCACAGGAGCTGCATCAAACTCTGCTACTTTTCAGAGTTCAGGAGTTTGTCCATGTGATTGAAATGTCATTCTCGTTATTTTTCCCTCTGAGAAAACTCTGAGATGGTTTTTCCCCTCACCAGAAACACACCCCATGACACCTATAAAAGATTTTGGACACCCAGTATTCTATGCACAAGCTGCTGAGATGCTGACTTACTGGTCTCCATGAGCTTCTCTAGTAGCACTTGTGCAGAAGTAGTAAGACCAGTCCTGTAGCCATAGTAAAGCAAGAAATTGGCAAAGGCCTGCCTATACCACAGGCTATGGCTGAATTTGAGTCTGTTCCTGGGGCATCTCAAGACTCTGGAATCTCCTAAATCTACCACAGCATTGACACTGCAACAATTTTACTGAAAGCCTCAGAACGTAAGAGGTCTTTTTTTAATCACTCAAAAGGTGACTCAGTGTCAGGCCTGAAGGGGTCAGGCAGTTAGGCTAGCTGATCATTGTAGTAGTTACAACTGAGCTATTCTAATAATATCAGATTATGTTTAAAAGAGCAAAGGGAGGAACAGCAGTGCCTGCCATGGCTGCTCGGTCCAGGGTTTAGGAGTAGGAGAGCAGCTCTGGAACTGAGAGTTGAGAAATTGCAACAAGGGGCCTCACACAGACCCTGTACTCAGCTGGAGGGTAAAGAAGAGCCACAATCTGTCCCCATTCCCCGTTAGAGTTGTGGCACCTGGAGGAGAGGTAATGCAGGATGTCTGAGGGATACGATTTGCCTAACCCTTACCATCTTCTCTCAAAAGCTTCCCACAGACCTTGATTTTCCTCACAAAAGGACATCACTGCTGGATACATTGTTATGGGTCATTAAAATCCATCCTAAGAGAAAATCATGCAGAGAATGGATGTGAGGGGAAAAGGGAGGAAGGTGAGAGGTAAGGACAAAGATATACCTCTTGCATGAATATTTGAAATATTTCAAAATCATAAGGAATGTTTGAAAACTGTAAGCTTGTAACCTGCATTTTAGCTAATTTTCTAGAAGTAGTTAAAACATTGGCCACAGAGAAAACCTAGGAAAGAAAGATACTGAGGGGAAAAAAAAAAAAAGAAGAAGAAGAAAAAAACCAACAGGTGTTTTGTCATTCTTGTTTATTTTTTTTTATTATGCAATCAAGAGATGGACCAAGAGGAAATTGAAGGACAGGCTAATATAGGAAATAGTAGGAAAGCAAGCCACAGCTATCTAGAACCTCACAAAAATAGTCTTAGGAGAGTAACAAAAGAAGAGAAAAAAGCAAATACATATGCACCAGTATAATCTATACATGCTAACTTTAAGGGCAAAGTTTGGATTTATTTCCACTGCCCAGGCCAGTTAATCAACTATCATTGTTAGCAGTTGATGGCTTAGAAAATCTCTGCCTTTGCAGCTGTGTGACTGTCAAGTATGGAGCCTCTCTTCTTGCAGAAATACAGAAAGAAATTAAATCTCTACTCCGAAGGAAGGGCAAAAAGGCATGTAGGCTTATATAAATTACAGCATCACAAAGCTGGGGTCAACCAGTTCTTTCAAACTGACCACAGGTATCTTTCTTTATTGCACAATTAAAGGAAATTTTATTTTCATTATTCAGGAGCTATAACTGGTTATAACTCATCTTTTGTAAAATTTCCAATACACCCATTTTTTCTGTGTACAAGCTGATTTCATCTGAGCAATGAATACTCCAAAGTTGTGGGAGATTTTTTCAGAATTTTTAGCAGGATTCAAACGGACTGTAAAAAGTCATAAAAATTTGCATGATTTCAGTTCCCTCGGTTGCTCATTATTGCCCTGCTGATCTGCACTATCCAAACAAGCCTATAAATTGCAAATGAAAGGGACAAAAAGAGGGAGAAAGCTTAGTGAAAGCTAAAATATACACCAATACACAAGTGTAAGTGTTGGTGCATTTCACTAAGTGGTTTAATGTGAAAAATTCACTAACACAGACACAGAGTTTTCTCCTCTTTCCTGAAAAACAATGGGAAAGGTATTTTAGCACCTTCTCTGCTTTCTTCAATCCAACATCAACAACTGGAGTTAGACACTGCTAAACAAAGAAAAAACATTCCTTGCTTTTCCTCCTATCTTTTCAATCTCCCTTTTTTCCCCACCCTGTTAAACAAACCACTGGGTGCCAAGGGAGGAATATATCAGTGTCCACACGACTGGACACATAAGCTGTCCCTTGGGGTCTCCTCACAGTGGAAAAAAGCTGCCTTGTAGAAGTTTCTTTCTTCCACTCAAGTTTTTCTCCCTCGGACGCCAGCAGCCTGTGGTCCCTAGAGGGCAGCCGATGAACACGGCTCCGGGGCACAAAGCGCCTTCCCTCAGGCTGCACGACTTATCACTTTTAACCAGCTTATCTCTTCTGTCTATAACTGCATGTTCAGGCAAACCACTTCGACTGAAAAAGTTTGGGTCATTCCCGTTGCTTTTTTCCAGCTCTTCATGGATGTTCAGCCAGAGAACTCCCACAAACCACCCCTCCTCCACCCTGCCAAATTTAGGGACAGTCTTCTACACTTCTTCTAACCAGTACACAAAGCCCCCTTACCTTATGATGACAAACATGACCAGGGAGTTTCCCACCAAGCCGACAACGAAGACCACTGAGTAGACAGCAGTGATGATGATGGGAATGGCGGGGGAGATGCTGGTGTGGTTGTGCTGGCCATCCCCAAGGGACCCAGTAGCATTGCTGTCGTAGTCTGCCCAGCCGAGGAGCCAGCTGCTGCTGGTGCTGGGGGGTCGACAGGGCCCTGGGGAGCAGGTGGAGTCCAGCTCTTCACGGAAAATCTGTACAGGGGCATCCATAGGGGTACAGTCCCCACAGGCTAGAGGGAGATCAGGAGGAAAGTGCAGACAGCAGGAGGCAACTGTGCTGGAAAAGAGGGAAGAGAAAGAAAGAAAGAGAAATGCTATCACAGCCACCAAACATTAACACCTCTGACACTTGTACATGTTAAGGGGAGCTCTGCTGTGATGGGAACTGTAATTTGCTGAGCAGAGATTTAAGCAAATCACATTCATATTAAATAATTGCAAGTTTTACATTTGCTATGTAATGCTGCTCCTCCAAGCTCACAAGGAAAGTTTTCCTCCACTTTCAGAGATTGCACAGAGAAGCAAACCAGATGGGAACAGTTCAGATCCACCCCCACACTTTAACTCTGTCTTTCCCATCCTCCATATTTATGTCAAAGTGTATCCTAGCAAGGGCTCCTGAATGCCTAAGCTCTGCTATAAAGGGGAAGTAGACAAAAACCCACCATCTCTCTGCACACCTGCTTTAACATCCTGCCCCTCAGTTATTTTTTCCTGATCCCATACCTGCTTTTAAAGAAGAGACACAATGACAAAAAAATACCTCTTTCAGTCCAGAAAAAGGAGCGGAGTCCTCAAACAGATGTTCTTTGCAGGAAAAGATAAGAAAAGAATAAAGCAGCTGTGCTTGGCTCCTGAAAGTACTACCGCCCTTCTAGGACTTTTGAACCTGAGGCACCTGTGCCCTCGGAGAGGCGTGCTGGCAGCAGAGCCGGTTGTCGGGCATGAGCTGAAACGTGTAGCAGCAGCAATTGCTGCTGTTCCGGCTCCCACCACTTCGCCTTTTCTCTCTCAGGCTCCCTCTGCCTCCCTCCCGCTCTGCCGGGGCTCCAGTAGCACTCTGCACTGATGCACACGTTCTCCTCTGTCTCTGTCCCTGCAGCTCAGAAGCTCACATGACTTCTTTCTAAACACTGAGAGGCAGATAAATTAAAATAAAAGCAAGAAATACTTTCTGCAATGAATAAATGCTTATTTTTAATACACTTCTCCAAAGTGCCTTTCCTCATTCCCCCTGTTTTCCCAGGCCTCAAGCAATGATCCTTTCTGTCTTATTGAACCCCACAGGATTTCAGATTAGCAGATGCTGACTAAAACAGGAATATTCAATTTAAATGCCTTGACTGATCCATCTGCTCTTTCATGCCCAGCTCCACAATTCTGCATCCAAAATATTTTTCACAGGGTCTCTGTGCCCCTATTCCTTTGCACCTGCAACTTGAAAGAAAGTCAGAAGCTGGCTACCACAGCAAAAGGGGGCACCATGTCCTTAGTTTATTTAAGCTAACCTACACCATGTGAGAAGCCAAGAATTCCCTGTAGCACTGCCAGAGCACCATTCTCCTTAGGCTCCAGCTGCAGCCAGAAACGGAGAGAAGGTTTGTGCAGAAATCACATCCCTCAGAGCTTATCTCTAATATGCTCCCTCAAGCAGTGGTTGGTACGGCACCAATATGTGTTCCAGATATCCCCTAATTTGCACACAGACCTTGAAATCCCCACCAGGAGTCTCTCTAAATGGCAAACTGGGGGAAGAAAGGCAAGACCCAGAGTTGTTCTTACTCCTTTGGTAGAGGCTGAGAGCAAACAGACTGGCTGCATCTCAAAGCGTGTAGCAGAAAAAACAGTCTCTGAAGAGAATAGAAGACTGATGTGTTTCTATGGGTATTTGGTGAAGCCCAGACAGTTAGGAAAGGGGCTTTGGGTTTCCTTTATCCTTTCCCAGTGGTGAAACTTCACTTCATGCTCCTTTGTTGAGTGTCTATTTCTATTCTAAAACAATTTTTTTCTAAACCTATAATCAAGATGAGAAATTACGCCTGCTCGGAGTCGAAAGTCATGTAGAACGTTTAAAAGGTACAGAATCCCCTCTGTTAGAGGAAGAGGCTTGTTCAAATGTGATGATGCTTTTGACTGTAGTCATTATTTTCTCCAGAGCATCAGCAACTGCTCACTATTATCTGTATAGAGCTGTTTAAAAGCTTCGCACTTAATGAAGATGGATAAAAATACAAAATAACAAGCATGTGACAAAAACATCCCTGAGCCAGAGACACAGACATGAAAAAGTAATAATTTTTTTGAACATGAATTGAGATCCTAACAAAAAATGTACTCCAATCCTGATTTTATCCTCTGCAATCCATTGGTTCCTGCCCATGTGTCAAAGACTGAAACAGTTAATGATTTACACATTCTAGGTTTACCAGGGGACTATTGCAGGCTGGGGAGAGGCAGCTGGACCCATCCCCACCACCAGCGGTACTGAAGGTGTCAAGTGCTGAAAAGGGGGGAAGAGCCATGTTTATCATGCCCTTCACATGGACTCTGTGCTGGACTGTCCAAGATGTTGGAGGTTCATGGCATGGCCCATCAAAGCCCATACTCTGCCAATCCTGAAATGCAGAAAAAAACCTTTTACCATGCCCCTCACAGGAACTCTGGGCAGGCCCAGGAGACATTGGAGGCCCATGGCATGGCCCATGACACTATCCATGGATATAATAACTCATAACTTCTTTGAGTGTGTGGGCTTCCCTCCTCCATCCCCAGCAGATCAAGATTACCACTTCAACTAACAGACATGGAAGCTGCAACTACCAAGTTCCATCACTGGACTCTGTGTGTGGTGACTGTATACATTTTTCCCTTACTCTCTCTTACCCTTATCGTGTCTTTTCCTTTCTCTCCCTTACGCATTTTCCCCAAAGGTTGTGTTTATGCCATGTTGCTATAGATGATAGATGCAGATGATAATACCCAAAATGGCAACATACCTGTTCACCTTTGAAACAAAATTGTTCTAAAATAAAATCTACATATATGTGTTTTCAAACACCAATTATTCAGTGTTGTTTCACTCTAATTCACCCCAAGGGATTTATTAATCTGATTTACCCCTCTACACCCTTTCTGGGGCAGGTCACAACTCCATGGAGTTGTGGAAAGTAAAGAGAACTACTACTGCTATATCTTCTCAGGCATAACTTTACTTGACAATTTTCAACTTCTTGTTAACATCTTCCCCAGACTTCTCTATATTCTGGAATTAAAATATACAGAAGAGCTTTAAGATAGCAGTATTTTAGCACTCATTAATAATTTAGCCCTTATGAGCAATCATTTTGTCATTTGCAATTGCTACAGGTGAATCAGAAACTTGTATATGGATAAGAAAAGCCTATTATCGCTCTTCATAAATCAGCAGTATAGATGACATAAAATAGCAAGATAAATAGCAGACTTAAAGTTTTTACAAGCACCAGTGGTTGGAGAGTAAGCTGCTCATTCTCTAGCTAAATTCTGTGCTGAAACTGCCCACTGATCTCAAAGTTAGCACAAAAAAGATATGCTTACAGCTTTAGTCACTGAGCCTTAACGGAGTTTGCATTGCAAATACATGAGACTGGAATGAGGTGGAGTCTGACCACAGCACTGCAAATTATAGGTCAGCCAGAGGCATCATGTAAGCTGCCTAATGCAACTGTGTGTGTGTTCCATGTTGGAGGCTCAACTTTGGCTCTTGGCTACTGTAGGTCTTTGCAATAGAGTAGAAAACAAGTACTTGGCCTAGGCAAATGTGTTGTCTTTTGAAAGCCAAATCAAAATTTTATGCATCAGTAGAAAATAATCTTTTCCTTTCTTGTGATTGCTTTCTTGATGAAAACCTGAAGATCTGGATTATCAGCAGGATACTGGAAACACCTGCAATGATACCAAGAGAAAAACTAAGGGCAGAGGGAGAACCGCTATCCATCACCATCTTCTCATTCAACACACAGCTGCTCAGTGCCTCTGTGCTTTTCCCAACAGTCCTGTGGAAAAGGGCTGGAGTCCCCTGAAGTCACTAGGGAAGAAAAAGGCAGTGTTTGCAGATTGTCCTAACCCAGATTGTCCACATGCTGATGCCAGAAGTCCCTGTTCCTTCTGAGGGCTGACATCAAACAGAAGGTCTTGTTATTTCAGAGGAAAGCAAGGAAATATTTAGAGAGCAAAGACATCATAAAAACATAATCTCGCCACTCAGCTGCATTTTTCCCCCAGTACTGTTCTTACAACATGTGGCTTTGCATGCCCCCCAGTTTTTTGCTATGATAGTTTAGACCCAGTGTTCACCTCACTGGGCTTTGGGAAACATAACAGAAATCACTTGACTTTTTAAATTTAGAAAACAAAACTATATGCCAAATTGCCAAATTCTACATTAAATTTAGAAAACAAAACTATATGCCAAATTCTACATTCTAAATTTAGTGAAAATTGCTTAAGTTGTGAATTCCAGCACTCAAAAGTAAAAAAACCCCTCATTCAGCTGTCTGATACTTAGGAACTACAACACGTGCATTTACTCAAGATTTCATTTTCTCCAGGCTGTTTACCTCAGCCAAAAATCAGCTCCACAATATTGTTACATTTAGATGGAAGGGCAACCATAAACCTGGAATTTCGTATCTGTAAAGTGTTTTCTTTTGTAATCCTAGTGAAATTCTTTCAAACATGGGGAAAGGGAGATATGTGATATTTAACAATATCAGATAGAAAAGGCTTCAGCATTGTCTTTTTTTTTCCTTTTTTTTTACCAAAAGCTAAAGAGCTGCCTGTATCAGCACACTGCTTTAAAACTTGAGCAGTGTGCTGGTACATTTATTCAGCCCTGACTCAGGGATAAGAATGAACCACACTGAATCACTGGCATGACTCTGTGCAGCACCCACTCACCGAGCTGCAGCAGAGACCCAGCTCCATCACTGCAGGACATGCAGGTTTTGAGGGAAAGCTGTTAAGGTGCTGGCATTGTTTCCCAGAAGACCACGACACTTTATGGGTATAAGTCAAATATGCAGGATAGGGCAGACCTTGAAGTTCAGCCATGAACTGTAACACTGAATATTTCAATACAGGATCATTTATAGAGGTCACCTTCTATTCTAGAGGCTGGGAGGAAGACCAGATGAGTTAGGGGGAGCACACTATCAAGATGCTTTTTCAGCTCATAATTGGTTTTGCTACATGATTGACCAAAAGCTACAAGATAGTGAACCTGAGTAAAGGTAGAAAATAATGGAAACACTTTGTGGTGGCTCCAGTTTCCAGGGAAACAAAGTTCTCCTGTCTCTCTGCCTTTAGAAATGTCAGCTCTCTGTGTGAACACAGCTTTTGGGAAATGGTGTGTTTTACTCTCTTCAAAGACCAGCAAGGGAAAGGAAGGGGAAAAAGAGAGATAGGAAAGTATATGTAATGCTACCTAAACATCTTTTGTGCACATATTTTGTTCACAGTAGAGTAAATATTCAGCATAAGACTTAGGTTTGTTTGTTTTTGGTTTTTTTTTACTTGTAGATGGCAGAGTTTACATTTAAAAAAATGTGCTACATTTATAAAAAATTACTGGTGCAGATCTCTATTTTCACCTTCAGAAACCAACTCAGTAAAATACTGAGCACTTGGGACAGTCTCTGTGGCCTGTCCCAAGACGTCCACTTTCCACAGAAATGTCTTTGGGAGGGTATGGAGAGACCAGTCACCCTCAAGCTGCCAACTGCAGGGAGGGACTGGGGCAAGTGTTGAAAAGTTTCTGACTTTAGGACTTTAAAAATGACAGATGTCATACAGAGAAGAGCCAACTGGCAGTGAGGAAGTCAGTGGCTGGGATTAAAGAGTTCAGAAGCCATCTGCTTCACTCTGCTGTCACCCTGCCTCCCCTCAGCAGCACTTCCCTGGCAGTAGACCATGGCACACATGCCAGCACCTTGGAGCAGAGGCAGAATTGTCAAAGCACATCTCCACTTTGCCATCTTCCCTGAATTTCATTTCACCTCATCAAGGTCCTCAGCTGGAAGTTTTATAACTTCTCACTTTTCTGGAGCAGGCTAGAGCTGTGACTCCAGAGGTGATACAAGGATGCCTAGAGCAGATGAACGTGAGCTAAAGAACAACTTTTAAGACTTCTCTTTAAAGGACAAAACTTTAGTATTCCACCTATATCTGTATAACAGATACAGATATCTGGTCTACAGAGTGGTTCATCTGATACAGATTTTTTTTTTTTAATTAAAAAAACCCAACTAAACAAATCACACAAACAAACAAGCAAAAAGAACCAACCACAAACCAAAACAATTAAGTCTCTCTTATTATTATTTACAATAACTTTTCCTCTGGACATTTTCAGTTAATCATCTTTCACAGCAAGTTGACTTCCCAATATGTGGAAGCACAGTTCTGCCGGTAAGTGCTTGTACTCTTCCAGGGAGGGAACTGGAGTCTGCTAACACAACACAAGCTTCCACCCAGCTTTGATTCTGACACAGGAGATGATATTGGTGTGATTGATGAGTTTTACGGGAATAAATAAAAGTTGCTTTAAGATTAACCTTGTCGTTTCATTTTAGGATGATCCCAGTGGATTGTGTGGGATAAGTACTGACTTTTCCCCAAAGAGCTCAAGCTCCTGCAGAGACTTGTCTTTACCTTTTCGACACAAAAAGAAAGATGATTCATTTCCAGCAGGGTTAAGAACTGTGTTGATTATATGCCAATGATACCTAAATCTTAATCTTCTTTGCTTCAGACTTAGAATGCTTGTTGTCTTATCCTAGTGCCAGGCAGAAACAAGAGAAAAATTATGTAGTTGAAGCTAGAGAAAAGAAAATTTTACACCCACAGCCCCTAAACCTTGCGCCTCCCACCTTCTCTGCCTCCTCTTTTTGGCACCTTCATTCATAGATAACGAATGGCTTAAAGACAACAGTGCTGTGATAAAAGAGTGGTGACTTTAGCTCTCTGAATAAGGGGTTGTGCCTGCACCAGCTGACTAAACCGATCTCTCCGGAACGGAGTGGCTGCTAACTCCAGGACGAAGTGGGGAAAGCTAAAGCCCCCATAGCCGTTTCCCCTTTCCTTTTCCCACCTAATCGAGTCCTGCTAGTCATTCAGTCAATGCCACAGAGAACCTAGGGCTGCAGGAGTGAACAGTAGATTAATAGTGATGCTAAGAGTGGAGAGAATCAAGAAAAACGAGGTTGGGAGGACACAGCTTTCCTCACTGGAGGAGCAGGAGGGAAGTGAGCAAGGGATTTCTTAAACATTCGTGTACCACTAATGCTCAAAAAACAAACTATCAGTTACTTGAGGTTATTTGGGCTTAAGTCCCACCGAACAAAGGGTTAAGAACTGGAAAGCAAGTACTCGAGAACAAGAGTCAGCGTGAAGCCCAAAATTTGTCAAACTGCACTAAGAGCGCCTTCAGCCAGGGGCACACACGGCAAGGACTCGCATGTCCCATAGGCGGGTGGAGCCGGACTCCCAGGGGAACGGCAGCCGGTCCCGCCGGGCAGGAACAGCAGAGGGTGCCGGAGCCCCGGGAGCCGCCGGGAGCGGCACCGCCCGCACAGCCCAGCAGCGGGGACGGAGCCCCGGGACTCCCACAGATCCACCCGGGAACAGGGAACAGGCAGCCCGGGTGAGCCCCCTCACAGCCCCCTCCCCTCTGCCTGCACTTCTGTGTAGCCGTGCTCGTTTTTCTCCCTGCTTATATTTCAGAGAATCACAAAATCGCTACGGTTGAAAAAGACCTCTAGGGTCATCAGTTCCAACAGTCAGCTCAGTTCTGCCAAGCCCACCATTAAACCATGTCCCAAGTGCCACTTCTACACATCTTCTAAATACCTCCAGTGATGGCGACTCCACCATTTCCCTGTTCCAATGCTTGACCACCGTTTAGAAATTTTTCCTAATATCCCATCTAAACCTCTCCTTGTGCAACTTGAGGCCGTTTCCTCTGGTCCTGTCATTTGTTAATTGGGAGGAGACTGACACTCATCTCGCTAAAACCTCCCTTCAGGTAGGTGCAGAGAGTGTTAAGGTCCTCCCTGAGCCTTGTTTTCCATAGGCTAAACAACCCCAGCTCCTCAGCCACTTCTCATGAGACTTGTACTCCAGACCCTTCACCAGCTTAATTGCTTCTCTGGACATGCTCCAGCACATCAATGTCTTTCCTGGAGTAGGAGGCCCAAAACTGAACACAGGATTTGAGGTATGGCCTCACCAGTGCCAAGTAGAGAGGAACAATCACTGCCCTGGTCCCGCTGACCACATTAGTTTCAATACAAACCCAGATGCCATTGGCCTTCTTGGCCACCTGGGCACACTGCTGGCTCATGTTCAGCCAGTTGTCATGCAGCACCAGCTCCTTTTCCATTGAGTAGCTTCCTAGACACTCTTCCCCAAACCTGTAGTGCTTCATGGGCTTTGTATCCAACATTGAATATCATGCAATTGGTCTTGACCCATCAATCCAGCCTATCCAGATCCTTCTGCAGAGCATTCCTGCTCTCCAGTAGATCAACACTCTTGTCCTTCTTGGTGTCAGCTGTGAACTGACTGAGAGCGGACTTATCCTTGTCCAGATCATCAATAAAGAAATTAAACAGGCCTGTCCCCAGTACTGAACCCTGGAGAACACCACTTGTGACCAGCCAACATCTGGATTTAACTCCATGTACTACCACTCCGAGCCTGGCCATCCAGCCAGATTTTACCCACCAAAGAGTACACTCATTCAAGCAGTGAGCAACCAGAACTACTCAACAGTGTCAAGCAACAGCAAGGTACATATTTTAAGCCTTTTCCAGTCATTTGCTTCAGCATGTTAGATGATAAAGTCAAAAAAGAAATTTAAGCTCATTTATAGAATGTTGCAAAGAGGAGAAACAACCATTTAACACTGTCTTGTTTGACACTGTTACTAAACCACTGATTATTAAGTGTGAAAATGAATCTGAAAACTTATGCCAATGTTTTGCAGCGGATGAAAGTGTGCCTTTTGAGATGTGTTTAAATAAAGGATACAAGAAGAAGATGAGTATGGGATCACTTTGTCAATTGTTTATAGCCAATTTCCGTATCAAACTGGAAAACTCATGCTTCACTTAGAAGGGAATTTAGCGGGACACATCAAATACCAAAGTCCAGTTTTATCCCATCTCTTACTGTGTGTAGCACCACTAAATTCAGTAATACGGCTAATGGAATAAAAATACCAGGCTACAAATTTCATTTCTAAAAGACAAGGAGGGGAAAGAAAAGAAAATCAATAGAATTATAAGAGAAAATTGCAAGAGCAACCCAAGCTCAACAAAACCTACAGAAGCGGAAAGTATCTGTGCAATATAGTGGCATCAAGAACAATATCAAATGAGAATTAAGAATTTGGCAGGAGAACAAAGAAACTCATCAAAATCTTAGGAATTAAACAGAAGCATACCCCATGACTGGGTTGTCTTGACCTTTTTTCTGATTTCACCTCTTTTACTGTTAGTATAACTACCTATTATTATAAATTACCAGTATATTCATGAAGTAAATGGCACCAAGGCAGTTCCTTTTTATTTCAATGAATTAGAATCCCATACCAGCTAATTTTCCTAAGTACTTTTCAATTGTGGTAAAAGATTACTAATTGCTTTAGGTTGCTAATTGCTCTATGTACCAAAAGATTTTTTTTAGTAAATGGAAAGATCCTTTGAAATATCAAGAATGAAAAGTATTTTAGTGCCCATTGTTTCAGTAGCATGCTTTAAGTGAAGACACTGATATCAAAGTATTCTATGATTCTAAGATCTGCAAATAACTCTTTCTGAAATAAAATAACCATTTATTTCAATGGCTTTGTTACTACCAAAGATGGAAAATGAATGTATATGCACACATACAGGGAGATTGAGAAAGAGAGGGAGCTCCAGCAACCTTTCTTCTTGGAGCTGGTACACTGTAGATAAAAAAAAATACTCAGACATGATGATTGTAGAATGTTTGATCCACCTCTTAAATTAATGAAGAATTAGGAAAGTGTCAAAAACTATTCAGATAAGATGTATTGTGTCAGCTAGTCAGCAATAAATTCAGACACAATTATGGGTTCTCTAGCAAGACAAGTCTGTTAATTATGATGTTAAAATTGTTATGTGTGAGGCTAAAAGTCATAAAGAAAAACTTATTCAAGATAAATTATGTCCTACTGTTCTGGAATAGTCAGGTGAATGTAACAAGATTAAAATATTTATTTCATAATTGCAAATTCTGAATTCTTCTCACGCTGCACGTCAGTGACCACACAGTCTTGTTTCAAAAATCACACAGTATATGTAATTTCAGTAGAGAGTTTTAGAGGTTACCTTAGATATTTTCAGGAATGAATCCTCATTCCAAGAAAATGAGGCTCTGGGTTATATAGACAGGTCCTCTGAGTAAAAAGGATCATGATGAGATCTTCTTCTTCATGCTTTGCGGAACAATGAAGGACACCTCTTGCAATTAACTCTCCCTCCACTATTAGAAATACTGAAAATACAGGACCAGCTCCTAGGAAGCGAACAGAATTAAAGAAGAAAGAAGAGCTATTCTTCTACAGCAATGTGACACTCCAGGTTTCTTGTGGACAATGCAAGAATAAACCATTTGAAGCCTTTGCTCTTGTACCTTTGTTGCCTCCAAGAAAATAAATGGAATGATCCCAAGGCTGCTGCAAAGAGTCACGTTCCTGGGTTTCTTTAAGTATGTTGGGGAAAAAAAGCAGATAAGCTGTTCTTATAATTAAATTTTCTCTTCTTTGGACTGTCTGTCGCAAGAAAATGAGGGATTTCAGAGTTCATGGGCATCCCTGCTGTTCAGCCAACCCTCATGAACAAGATCAGTCTCATCATTCCTGAAAGTGCTTCACGCAGGCACGCCAGGTTTTAGGTGAAGGTCCTCTTTAACGAATGTTGCCATGGAAGCTTTTTAGTAACTCAGCTCGGATAAGCCTTTGCTGTGCAATTACCAGCTGGTGGTTTGGCTCAAAAAGCCTACAGTTCTTCGGCACTGTGATTAATCTGAAGACCCATGGTGTGTTTCAGCAGACACTGGTATTACGAGCCTGTGTTTTGCCTTGACTTGTTAGCCCTACGTTCAGACTGCTGGTTTTCCTGGTCACCCGTTCTCCCTGTAATTCCAACTCCATAACTGTTAATCTACCCCATGACTTAGTACATTAAAAGAAACGAATGTATTTTAAGGAAAAAAATTTTAAGAAATACAATAAATATGTAACTATAAACTGTTGTAATTCAAGCACTTCTGCATGCCTAAGGTATTAAGATGGTGATAATCAGGTGAAATACTAACCATATCTGTATCATGTGAGCTTTCTACACCATTTCTACAGCAATTTGTTTTAACAAATTGAAGGTCAGCTTTATTTGTTATTTTGCACACTATGTTCATGAATATTATTCTTTTACAGATTTTGTCACTTGAAAGGAAAAGTAAGACTTTACCATTTCCAGATTAATAATTCCTCTTGGAGAGAAGGTGCTTCTGGGAAAGGATCCAAGTTCAACATTTTTGAACCTATGTACCATATATACATACAGCTACTGCTTTCTCTCTGTGATTGGCAATGTTGCTTTAGAGCAATGCACCAAATGGATTTTTGGGGTACACTAAACCAATTTTCATCATAATTATGTGTCCAGGCAGGAAGAAGATTTTTAAATTCCCCAAGCCTTCTTTTATTTCCCTGTGGGCCTTGTTTCGTGCATAATTGGACATGAGGAAACAAATTCTGTCAGCGAATTGTCTGAACCAGCCCTGTGTGGAAGAAGGAAAATGTAGATTGGAAGTTTCTGCATTTTATACATTCTGATTAATTCTAACATTACTTCTGACTTAATTCTAGAGTTTTACAAACTTCTTAAGAACCACAATACTGCTGTGAGACAAATACAGAGGCTCACCACCTGTATGATGGAGAAAACACTTAGAGATTGTGCTGTGCATCTAGACACATGGAAGTCAAGACAGGGGTCAGAAGCAGAATCAGAAGTCTCTTCTTTCCTCTACTTTTTCTCTCCTATGGCAGATCATATGTCTGGCCTTTCTGCAAGCTTTCCTGTCATTCCTCTTTCTAAAGCTTTTTCACAGTGTTAACATCACTGGCTAATTATGCATCAGACCTCTCTGAGTCAAATAGTCCAAGTGCATCAAAAGCTATGCACTATAGTATGGCAGGACTTGCTCGAATTAGCCCTGTTATTAAGATCCTACAGGATCCTAATAGATCCTACAGGCCTTTTGAAACAGTGCGTTATTTTCCATAGAATCACAGAATGTTAAGGGTTGGAAGGGACCTTAAAGATCATCTAGCCCCATTTCCCCTGCCATGGGCAGGGACACCTCCCACTGGACCAGGTTGCTTAAGGCCTGATCCAACCTGACCTTGAACACTGCCAACATGGGATGCCCCATCCAGCTGGGGCATCCATAGCCTCCCTGGGAAACCTGTTCCGGCATCTCACTACCTTCAGAGTAAAGAATTTCTTCCTAATATCCTGCCTAAATTTCCCCTCTTTCAGTTTATACCCATTAATCCTTGTCTTATCACTACAGTTCCTGATGAACAGATCCTCTCTGGATTCCCTGTAGGCACCTTCAGATACTGGAAGGTTGCTCTGAGGTCTCCACACAACCTTCTCTTCTCCAGGCTTAACAACCTCAACTTCCTCAGCCTGTCTTTGTAGGGGAGGTGCTCCAGTCCTCTTACCAACTTCATGGCCCTTCTCTGGACTTGCTCTAACAGTTCCATGTCCTTTCTAGAATTCCAGATCAATAAGAATAGAAAATAGAAGAACATCTAACAACATGCTCCATGGAAACATCTATCCTTAGTATTTCACACCATCTTAAAAAAGAAATGTTTCCACAAATAAAAGTATACTCAATACATATATAATTGATAATTAGCACTTGCATTGCTACTTTCCTTTGAAAAATATAAGGAACAACTTTGAAAAAAAAAGAGAAAAGCCAATTGCCTTTCTGGTTTTCATTGTACTTTACAGAAGGTAAAAGAATTGCACATGATTTTATCAAACCCTCATTTTGGTAAGACTTTGTACATCTTTGAGCTTTGAAAAAAATCTCTTAGGAAGTATAAGTTGATATATGGATCTTCAAATTGGTTTAGCATTATGTTCTTTTCAGTGCAACCAAGAAATAAGAAAAACAAAAAACAAGAAAGGATAGAATCATAGCATCATAGTACCATTAAGGCTGGAAAAGACCTCTAAGATCTTTGAATCCAGTCATTAACCTGACATTGCCAGGTCCACAATTAAGCCATGTCCTGAAGAACCACATCTACACACTTTTTAAACACTTACAGGGATGGTGATTCTACCAGTTCCCTGGGCAGCTTGTTCCAATGATACATTTAATTCTGACACAGATAAATCTATCAGGTGCAATCACCATAAGTGTGAGATACATTTGCCAAATTATAATTTTCTCCTCTTGAGGAAGATTCAATTCGGGGGGAGGGGGTGTTTAAAATTCTATTAGATATTGAAACAGAATTTAAAAATGTCTTTGAAGCAATTTATTCCGTTAAATAGTTGGCTTCATAACTATTCTTCTACCATAGAAGATGCACATATTTTTGCTCTTAAAACACTATGCATGAAAGTCCCTCCAGACACGGTATTAAGGTATTAAACCTTTCCTGTTCTTGTTTTTAACAAATTTTTTTCTTTAGTCTTTCATCATTTTTCACTTAAGAAGAAAGACATATTTCCTCTTCAATCAATTATGTTGCAACTAGTTTCTGAACAATCTCTTCATCATGAGATCCAAACTTAATTTCAACTATGTACCTATTTGCCTTTTGAGATATGGACATAGACATGTTTAGAAGATGCAATATGAGATAAGGTAGGATAGCTTTCCTGGTTCAAATTTAATTTTTTTTCTACTTTCTGAAGTGCCAAATTTGTCCCAATCTGATGAGTGTAATGACTCTTCCTCACTAAAAAAATTGTTCTACACCCATCAAATATTTCATTTAAGCAGCATAAATACAGTTATATAATTAAAAAAAAAAAAAGTTAGTACGCAATATTAAACATCTTCTGGGAGTTGTATAGTTTTACCAACACCATCATTCCCCTTTTCATGTAAAGTCAAATTGTCAGCAGTCAAAAATCATCAAGCTCAAAAAAGACAGGTAATGCCTGACTATCAATGAGAAAACTTCCAGAATTAATACTATTTGAAAAGCATGCCTAACTTACCCTGTCCTAAATATGCTTCCCCTGATAACTGAAAAAAAACAGAATAAACACTGAGAAAATATACTTCCTCTAAAAAATGTTTCCAATGGCTTTGATAGCTACAATTAGTTGTTAGAATTAAGCCACTTTGTCAAATCACCAAGTTCAGCAAAATAAGCACAAGTTTGTGGCCCCACTTGCCTTGCCACACAGCAGCAAACAGAAAGGCATCTTCAGCAACCCCTGGAGAAAAATGAGTGACCTCCTTCTACAACCAGCGAAGAAAGACTCTTCTTGCCTGTTTCCATAGCTCCCAGTGGAGGACTATTCCCAGAGGGTTTAAAATCAACCTTTTAAATTACTGCTGCAGTAAGGTAGAATTGCTCAGCTGATGATCTCTGTAAGACATTATTTTTCAGCATTTAGGCAAAATTTTTATATTGGATCTGTTTGTATATTTTTTTTCCTTTATGATAATTTTCAGCCTTAATCATTTAATGACTTTGAAAGAAATTAGTAAAGAAGAAAGAGGTGTATGGGTGGAATGGAACGAGAGGAAGATTATAAGGCTGGGAAGACTGGACAAAGAAAGTGGTAGAGGTGGACAAAAGTAGCTGGCTGTTTACCTGCTGCCTTTACTTAGACTAAGACCTAGTAACTTTAGGAACTAACATACAAGGGAAAACTGATTTTTTATTATAAGCTCCATAGAGAGAGTCCAGTCTAGGAAAAGAGCCTGTGATTATTTTTTAGCTTCTGAACAGAGACACTAGACATTATCGTTCTGAGCACTTGAATACTTTTATCCACCTGTTCCACTTCAACATTTCTTTCACAGTATATCCCATCAGCATATAAATTGAATAACATAGATTATCTTCCCATGTTTTTCCAAAATCCAACCACAGGACAGTAACTTTCATAAGCTTTGATTCATCTGGCCTGCAGCAAACACAAGACTCAAGGCTCTCCAAGTGAGACTACAGGGAATTACTAGCACAGGGAATTACTACTACTACTACTACCATTTTACAATCTATCTTTTCTTCTACAAGCCATACTCAGTAGGACATCTCCCAAGCAAAAACATTCAATCATTATGTTCATCCTTTCCCAAATGTTGCCTTTTTACTTTGGAAGTCCATAGCAAATACCATAAAATTACTTATTTTCCATCTCATTGCAAGGTGGATGAGAAAATTAACCTCCTTTACAATCACATTTAATAAGTTTATTTTTAAAAAATGCTTTGAAGTAAATCACCCAAATAAATTGACATCAAACTTGAAAAAAAAAAATAAAAAAAGAAAGAGGATTCTCTGAAGTCCTGTGCTTCTCAGTGATTTCACTATCTGATGTTGGCAGGTACCCAGCACTGCAATTGGAACTGTTCTTGTTACTTGGTGGAGTCATTTTGTTGCTCCATTTGTTACCCTCCTTTGTTGCCTGCTGTTCTGTAGTCTGCTATGGAGAACCTTCTACAGCCATGATAGCACACTGCCTCAGGCAGCACCATCAGTTTGATAAGCATTTGTTGCTTGTAAATGCCTTCAGATCCACCACTGCTTTTTTTGGAACCAGCAAAACAAAGATGGTTTGAAACAGCAGAAAATATATCCTGGTTTGATGGCTTATTTCCCATTTTTTTGCCTTTCCCTTCTAGTTTTCTCCCTTCAAAACTCTCTAGTC